CCTTGCCTGCTCTAGGGCTCAGGGGAGGGAGCAGGACCAGTGAGTCTACAGGCATCCTCTCTTTTGTTCCAGGACTTCTCTGCCTATCTCTCAGAGACCAAGAACCCATCTTCTTCCCCAGGCTGGGGAATATTGGATGCATATCCCCATGCTGCTCTCCCTCGGGGTTGATCTTCTCTGTCCACAACCCTAAAGGAACTTTGTAGAGCAGGGGCATCAGTTGTGGTGATAGGAAGGAGATGTGCAGTTATAGAAAACACTGTTGGAGGGAGCTCTTGTGGATGACATCAGTCTAAGTCAGAAAGTCAAATGGAGGAGGAGGTCATTTCCTTCCTATTCTCTGGGATCCTAAAGAGAACTGCAGAGACTCACATTGTGCATGAACAAAAGTTTCCAGATTTAATAAATAAAGGCAAAGTAAACCAGGCACTGGACTGATGGCTCAGCAGGTTAAGAGTGCTTGTTTCTCTTCCAGAGCAACTCCTCCTATGTGTTTTGACCTTTGGAGTTTTAGTAGAAGAGCAGTAGGAACTGTTCAGGCTGAAGCTCTTTGCCAGGGTAGTCAGATATCTTTCAGAGTCTCTTCTTCTTTTTCTTTTCCTTTTTGCTTTTCTTTTTCTTTGTTTTGTTTATTGTTAGTTTGTTTTTCAAGACAGGGGTTCTCTGTGAAACAGTCCTGGAACTCACTCTGTAGATGAGACCAGCCTGGAATTCCTATAGGTCCACCTGCCTCTGCCTCCCAAGTGCTGGGATTAACACGCCTATGCCACTATCACCTGGCCAGTGTCTTGGTCTCCATCCATATCCAAGGGGCTTCATTCCAAGACACCAGATTCCAAAAGCTGTGGCTGCTTCAGTCACTGATGTACAGTGGCATCGAACCTGCATATACCCCACGGTCCCTCCCCGCCCCCCTCCCTGAAATCCTACTATGTGTTGTAAGTCATGTCTAGATGATCTGCACTCTATAAGGCCATGTCACTGCTGTGGTCATCATTCTGGTACCTTATATTCAGGGAATAGTGACAGGAAAAAAAATCAAGTCTTCACAGTTCAGACAATTTTTTGAAAATTTAAAAAGTGTTTTGGGGAATCTGGGTGTGTAGCACAGTAATAGAACATGGGATATAGCATGTGCTTAGTGTGTGGGTGTGTACTGCACATAGAGACCACAGGACAGCCTTGGGTGATGTTTTCTCAGGGGCTGTCCACCTGTCCACTTCTCCCATTTCTTTCATTCATTCATTCCCTGGAGTCCATTGATTACACTTTGCTGGAAAAACCCCAGGATCCCCCTTGCTGTCCCACTGCATCTAGTAAAGTACCCTACATATAGGGAAAATATCATAAGATCTGGTTTTGTGTTATATTTTTATTAGTTATATTAACCTTAAATTCTTTTTTGTTTTAAACTTTATTACAAAAGCACTGCAAGTAAAAACAATCACATACTGAAATTAATCAGACCCTAAGACTGCACTACTCAATGGATTTCTATATAATCAGGAAGGAAGCCATGAAGTTTCAGAATGGGCTTTATCCTTTCACTGTCAAATATATTTGTATGTACTTATCCTCTATAAAAAAAAAAAAAAAAGTGAAAACAATCCATGACGGAGTAGAACTAGTTAAGCAACTAGTTTTATATTCTCTTTCATAACCCATGTTCATTACCTGCATTCAATCCTTCCCACTGTCTAGCTTTTCCTGTTCTCTTTCCTACATGTTATAGTGTACCCACATAGACGTGTGTCAAGTTGACATATAACTGACCAGCACTGGCACCTACCACAAAATCTGACAACTTCAGACTGCTCCCAGAACCAAACGGTGAAAAAAAGAACCATTGTTCTCTGGTCTCCATATCCATGTCCAATCACAAGCATATGCATGCATATCACCAAACAAATAAATAAATGTAAAAGAAATAATGAACCTAAATAGATGTTTATCAAAAGAATCCACTGAAAAGAGCTGGAGAGATGGCTCCATGGTTAAGAGCATTTGTTCTTCCAGAGGACCTGAGTTCAGTTTCCAGCACCCACATGGCAGCTTACAACCACCTGTAACTCCAGTTCCATGGAATCTAATACCATCTTCCAGCCTCAGTGAAAACACAGCACACATATGATGATCAGACATGAGACAAAACACCCACATTCATAAATAAAATACTAATCAAATGGGGGGGGTTAGACATGGTTTTTCTGTGTAATAGCTCTGGCTGCCCTGGAACTCCATTTGTAGACCAGGCTGGCCTCAAACATACTAAGATCTGCCTGCTTCTGCCTCCCAAGTGCTAGGATTAAAGGTATGCACCACTACCACCTGGCAATAATTAAAAATTCTAAATTAAAAAACACTACATAATGTAGCAATTCTTCTTCAGAGTATATATCCGAAGGAAATGAAGTCAGTGTGTCCCAAGAGGTAATCTGTCCTCCTACATTCATTAAAACACTATTCACAACTACCAAGACATGAAAATAACCCAAGTCCATCAGCTGATGACTAAAGAGAATGTGACTCATATACACAACAGAGTACTACTCAGCTCTAACAAGAGTGAACCTATGTAGTTTAGTACAACATGAATAGAACTAGGTGTGACTGTGTGAAGTAAAATAAGACAAGAACCACACTTGTCATTTGTCTGTGGGATAAGCAGGAGTTTATCTCAAAGATGTGGAATACTGACTGCCAACGGCCGCAAGACAGAAGGAAGAAGGGAGGAGAGTTGATCAGTAGATACAGGTGAAACAGGAGTACAAAAGTCTAGTGTGCTGACACACAGTAGGCAGGCTATATGCTGCAGCAATCTACTGTGCATTCCAGAGTCAGAAGAAGGAGTTTGAATGTTTTCTCTTGATGGGAGATGTCATTCTATAAATATGTTTCTCTTACTGGTTAATGAATAAAGCCCTGTTGGCCAATAGAAAAGCAAGATAGGTGGGACTAGGAGACAAGGAGGATTGTGGGAGATGTAGTAGAAAGGAGTCAAGGTGTAGGATGTAAGAGAAGAGATCTGAACCCTTTCTCCTGTAAGAAAAGACCACATGGAAACACTTCGATTGATAGAAATGGGTTAATATTTAAGACAGAGCTAGCCAATAAGAAATGCAAGTAACAGGCCAATAGCTTTATAACTAATAGAGTCTCTATATGTTATTTGGGGACTGACATGGCTGTGGGACCAGGCCCACAGTACACGGAACATTCTCTCATTAAAAAAAAAAAAAAAGTTAAATATTGAGAAGGTAGATATGCTTGACCTAATTTAAGTATTACCTGGCATATGCATAGGACCACCATATGACAACCCAAGAATGTATATATTTTAATGTTTTTATGTATTAGTTGTTCTTGGATTTTAGAACACAGCATACAAAATGTAAAATAATTTTTTCTCTAATAATTTCCACCCATAGTGGAAATCTCTATTGAGGTTAAAATATGATTTTAGACACAAACCTCCAATTCTTTTTTAAGATTAATTTATTTTTATTTTGTGTGTAAGGGTGTTTTACCTAACACATCTGTGCACCATATGCATAAGTTGCCATTGGAGGCCAGAAGAGGGCATCAGATCATCTGAAATTATAGTCACAGAGATTATGTGTTCCCATATGGGTGCTGGGAATTGAACCTGGGTCTTCTGCAAGAGCAGCCAATGCTCTTAATCACTGAGTCCTCTCTCTACCACCCCAACTCTTTTTTGTAAATAATTAGCTTATCATAAACACTTTGCCCATGGAATAGCTTCTTTGCTGTCCTGTAATATTCAAAGATAATGTCCTTTGGCAGGGATGTGTGTATGTGTGTGTGTTGACAAGAAGTTAGAATTACTGAATCTTTTTAAGATTTAAAAAATTTAAGTATGTGTATGTAGGGGGTGTGTGTGTGTGTGTGTGTATGGGTGTAAGGATTTAAAGTCAAGGCATCCAATTGCGCTGGAGCTGGAGTTACAGGTGGTTGGGAGCCCTCTGACATAGGTGCTGGGAACTGAACTCAATTCCTCTGAAGAGGAGCACACACTGGTATATTGCTTGCATGTGTGTCTGTGTGAGGGTGTCAGATCCCCTGGAACTGGAGTCACAGATAGTTATGGGCTGCCATGTAGGTGTTGAGAACTGAGTCCATGTCCTCTGGGAGAGCAGTCAGTGCTCTCAACCCCTGAGCCATCTCTCCAGCCCCAGTACCACTCTTAATCACTGAGCCATCTCTCCAGCCTAAACTGCTGAACCTTGACTCAGCTATCCAACCAAAAGGACAGCAGATTCTGCAGGAATCATTTGTTTAGAAGGGAAATTAATTGTGGCTTCATTTGCCATGTGTTTTCTTAACCCTGAGTGCACTCTAGGTCCAGGGTTTGAAATTAAGCTGGACTGGGAGACTCTGGCCCATGAAATCAAGCAGTTGTCCCTCTCCTTCCTTATGTCACCTCCAGAGACTGCCTGGATCAGTGGCGTGGTTCAAAGCGCTTCACTAAATACTAGCTCAAGCCATGCCCCCCCAAAATGTATTCCACTGAACGATTTGCTCTCCCCGGGAGTATGTGTGCTCCAGATGTCTTTGAACTCTCACTAGAGGATGTGGTGAGAGCGATGCCAGATTGCTTTGTTGTCCCTAATGGACTTACCCTGCTCCAGGTACTTTCCTAGGCAGAGGCTGACCACCAACCAGCTGGTACCTCAGCAGTATGGACAAACCAATTTGCTTTCTGCCACTCTGGCTTGATGATTCAAGTTGGCAATATGCAGCTAAGTTACAGATGCAAGCACCCTGCTTACAATTAATGATAGTGTGTGTGTGTGTGTGTGTGAGAGAGAGAGAAGAGAGAGAGAGAGAGAGAGAGAGAGAGAGAGAGAGAGAGAGAGAGAGATGAAATTCCTCCTAGAAGTAGCAAAGCTTCATTAAAACTGGACAGGGCTTCTACCAAATACATTAACATGAAGAGCGATCTCCCAGCAAGGCTTGCAGTGAAGTTTCCTTGTCTGCAGGTTCAGAAGATGGGCTCTCCCAGAAGCAGCGAGCACCTCGTAGACGGTGTCAGCAGCCCAAAATGTTGAGTAGCCCCGAGGACACCATGTACTATAACCAGTTAAACGTGAGTTCAAAGTGGCCGTAAAGCCGTTTTACCGGCTTTGTTTCCAGTTAATAATTCTGTTATTAATACCTGTTCCAGCCCCTCCAGCCCCTCCCCCACTCTCTTCTGCTCTCCTCGTGAACATGTGCTTAGGCTCTTTATCTGTTGCTTTCATGTCAGGATGTCTGCCTTCACGGTGAATAATTGATGTGGTTTATCAAAGACGAGCAAGATGCATGCTTCATCAGGCTCACTTGAGCCCTTTGATCAAAAAAATTATGCTGTGACTTCTGATATTATCAGCATCTGCTTGCATTCAACACAAAATCACTTTGAATTAAAAATTAACGACTTGGTGCTTTGCTTTGACTGTGTGTTCTTGGCCCTATCCACAGGGAACTCTAGAATATCAAGGGAGCCAGAGGAAGCCAAGAAAACTTGGGTAAATATCTGTCTTCTTAGTTTCCAGCAACTGTAAACAGAAGGGGGTCCTTTGTGATATCACAGAAGAGGGCAAACTTTCCAGGGAGTCTTCTAAAACTGCTCCGTCCGGATATTGCCACCATTGATATCACTCGCGATTCTTTTTCAGGACAGCGAGTACACAAAACTTGAATCCATTCTGTCCAGAAAGGTTGAAATTGTCCCCTAAGACAACTGTTATTTCTCTTTAACATTCCAAGGCATGGGGCTCATAATAAGACTGGCTGTGAGTTGTACAAAACTCTCCTTCCACAGGCAAGAGCACTTTCCCAAGTGTAGACAGGCACTCCCCGCCATGTTTAATACTTCCTTGGGCTTACCGCTTGCAAGGAATGAGGAGGAGGGGCCTGATCCTTTGGTTTGTCAGCATCACAATGGGGACCAGAAGGGGAGGTGATGATAGCTGGCACTGTTCTGAACTGAGGGAGGTCAGGAGCAGAACTGTTTCTAGAGGACACAAATGGAGACAGACCAGGTGACCATGTGAAAATCAAGTTACAATGTGACCAGGACTTTTAGGTACTATTTACCAAGGCCCAGAAAGGTGAAAAGTTTCATGATCAACTACACCTCCTCCTTCCCCCTACAACTTTATGTTCGACACAGGTGATCATGGTGTCTGTTTGATATTTTCTGTTGAAAATCCTTTCTCTCTTACAGACAAATCAAAGTGCTGGATGGGGAAGACCAGTATTACAAATGCCTCTCCCCTGGGGCCTGTGCCCCTGAAGAAAACGACTCAGCCCAGCCTTTCTTTTTTTCCTCGTCATCCAGAGGAGACTCCGTTTCTCAACACTGAGTTCTGCTTCCCAGCCCCAAATGTGTCCCAGGTAGAAGCAATCATGGTAACTGAACACCTAGCAGGAAGTCACTGTCATTGGGTCAGCTTCTTTGGACACAGTCTATGCATCAACCTTGCTGAACAACCAAGATCTCTGAAGTTTCTGCCTCCTGCTCCCCTTCACCTGCACTGCAGCCAGAATGGTGGAAACTCCTGTTCTCTTCATCCCCTAAGAACACCCCTGCCTTGGCAATGCAGTCCTTCAGGCTCTCAACAGCTAGAGAAGGGAAGACAGCCCCACCACAGAATCTGATAATTTGTCTATCCTTCCTCCTGAGTGGAAACCAGCAATCTCTTTCCTGCTCTTCCCGACACCACCACCCCCCTGCCCACCTGCCCACTTTGCTGGGCTTTCTGTATCTACTTCCCCCGGATCAGGGCTTCATGGCTGTGCTGAGGGCACTGTTTCCAGGAAGAGAGGTCCAAGATTTCTGTTTAGATGCAATTGTCAAATCTTTCAGATCCTTTCTCTGGAGCAAAGGAATGCCTCTGTTGCATGTTGTTATGTTGAGATGGTCTCTGCCTGTTTCTTCCAGCTTGCCAAGGGAAGCCCATCACTCCAGCCATGAAAAGCAGAATGTGGAGTGAGAATGTGGGCCTGTGCAAGTGTAGGCCACCTGATTTTGTAGCTGCATCCCCTGGTCAACTGTCTCCATGGGTTGTGACAGATGGCAGAGGAGAGATCTCATCTTGCCCATCTCTGTGTTCCTCAGACCTAGCTCAGGGCCTAGGAGAGTGGACACCCAGTGTACAAGAATGAATATATATATTTACAGCAGCATGGCTGGCAGGGGAATTGCTGATACATGACAGATGAGTAACCACTTTCTTATATATAAGTAAGCTCTGATGTCTTGCTCAAGGTTGGCCTGTTCGTATTGCAATGTTAACGACTTATAAATGTCCCACTCAATACAGTTCAGTACAAGCAGCTTTCTTAAGCACGAAATCTGTGTAAAACAATATGGAAAGCTGCTATGAGCTGCAAAAGCAAAACCTCATCTAAGATTCCTCAAGAGCAGATGTTCTTAATATTTTCTTTCTTTAAAATATGTAGTTGATTTGAGAAAAAATACTTTAAAGATCTTAGAAAAATATTATTATCAGAGGTTTTCCTGTGTAATGGAGGGCTTTGTAAATATTTTCTGAAGAGAAACAATTAAGTGAAGTTGGTTTTAACTTTCCCCCAAGGAGATGTGAACAAAGCACGGTACGTCCCAGATAAAACAACAGTGACAGACTGAAGGATCCACCCGAGTCTAGCTTGTTGAACCAGTGGGTTAAACTGGGCTTCCTGGGCCTGGAAGGATGAAACAGAAGTTAAGAGTACTTGTTTGTTTATTGTTGTTATTGTTGTTATTGCTTTTTGTTTTTCAAGGCATGGTTTCTCTGTGTAGCCCTGGCCACTTTGGAACTCACTCTGTAGACCAGACTGGTCTTGAACTCAGGACTTCATCTGTCTCTGCCTTCCCAGCGCTGGGATTAAAGGTGTGCACCATTCCTGCCAGGTAGGAACACTTGTTCCTGCAGACGACCTGGTTCCAGTTCCCAGAACCCATATGTTGGTCTACAAACAGATAACACCAGTTCCAGGGGATCTGACGCTTCCTTCTGAACAAAGCACATATGTGGTGCATATACATACTTCAAGAAAAAAACACACTCAGACATATAAAATAACAAATCTAAAAAGAAAATAATTGGGGTTACAGACACAAGCATGGGTGAAGGGCTGCCTATAGAGGCATGGACAATTTAGGGACAACTATAACCACCAAAGAATACCCCCATAGCAACAACTAAACCCTCGGGAGAGGCAGAGCCTTGAACACAGCCTTACACACCTTTCACACTTCCACAAGGAAACATTAGTGAGTGCTGTCTTGCCCTTGCCCTGAATCCAAGGTGGCAATGACTACACCATGCCCAAGGACAGAGTTCCACAACAGAGACATGCAAAGAGCTCAGAAATTACAACGGCACAAGAAATAGCTACAGACAGTTTTTAGTTGATACATTGTGCTTTTTTAAAAAGATATGTCTTGGGGTTTTCCCAGATCTTCACTTTAAAATGTAATGTTTATATGGTGTGAGAATAGAGCAGACAAAACAAAGCTAACTTAGTTGCTTAAGAAATAATGCTTAGGGTGATTCTGTGATAGAGTATTTGCCTAGCATGTGCAAGGCTTAATCCCTGAGAACAAGAAAGATGAAAAGATGAGAGGAGAGAGAGAGAGAGAGCCTAGAATATACAGTTTTCCTTTAGTGCCTTCAGAAATTCCACTTTTATCACTGATCAGTCTACTTTGATGTAACTAGTTTTCAAACTGTGGGATAAAAATGTTCATAACTTCCTGTGTGTCCACATACAATGTAATTGTAAGTCTGCCTTATTTCTTTCTGACTGAAATGTGTCTACAAATAAAGGTTAAAAAAGAATCACTAAATTCTAATTCAGAGGCCCTGTAATACTTGGTGATACAGCTATAACTCCAGGCAGCAGTTGGTGTCAACTATAGCATGGGTAAGATAGACTATAGACTTTTCTCTTTGGCTATTCATAATGGCATGGATCTTAACATCTATAACTTAGCATCACTCTTTTGCGGTATCTGCCTCTAGTAGCATCATGTGAACATCTCTGATATGAAGGAGGCAGCAGGCTGCAATCTGGTGTCAGGAGAAACAAATGACCCTGGGCATAGCACCTTTTGTAAAATGTGACTGCAGGCCCTGCTTTTTCCCAAGCTGCAGCTAGTTTCTAATCTGGTTTCTCTTCAGATCTACTTGTGTCCACTTTTTCTAGCTTTCTGTAAATATGTGTGTGCATGCACAAAATAGAAGAGAGTTCGATGAGGTATTATAGTGTAACCACCATGAAAGCACTCCAGTAGCCTAGAATGTGTCTGAACACTAGGATGCTCCCTCCACCCCCTGCCCTTCCTCAAAGACACACACACACACACACACACACACACACACACACACACACACACACACACACACGACTTTAAGGGTAAAGACTTCCTTGACTTGATTAGAGCTTTAAAACTTACAGCATCCCTGAGCACTGTAGTTAGGCTTTGCCTCCTAGGGTTAAGTTTTAGGGGCTTTGATAGTTTTATTTGCTTTCTGAGACTGTTTCTCTCCATGCATCCCAGACCGACCTCAAATATATAATTCCTCAGCCAAAGACTTCTGGGTGCTAAGAATACAGGCGTGTGCCACCACCCTGAACAGCTTTGGGGAGCTACATATAAATAGAATCACACAGTGAGAAATTCTTCAGATCTTCTTTCATCTAATTGTTCCATCGATGCTTCACACCTATATTGAGGGATGTAAATAGAGTTTGTGTGTTTTTCATGGGTGTGTAGTATTCCAGTGTGTGACAAGTGACAATGCTATTCTTTTCATGGAGAAATGTAAATTGTTTCCAATTTGGGGCTATCTTGGAGCATTGCTGCATCTGTCTATTGGCATCTACAAACATGGTTTCCTGTTGGCCATGATCCTAGGACTAGAACTGAAATGCAAGAAAGTGTGTGTTTCTTCACTTGGACAGACACTGCCAGCCTGTTCTCTAGAGTAGTTGTAGCAGTCTATGATCCCACTAGTGGTTTAAGAGTATTACCAATTTCCTGCATTCACATCAACTCTTACTGTTATCAGACATTTTTTTGTCTAGGTATTCTGATTGATCTCTATTAGAAGCTCACTGTGATTATAGCTTACGGTATCCTTACATCATTAATGCTGACTTTGAACAATTTCCTGTGCTTTGTGGCCATGTTAGGTAAATTCCTTTGTGGTATACCCATTTTAATTGAATTAACTTCATTGAATTTAAAGGAACACACACCCACATATATATACTATTGGTTATGCATTGCAAATACTTCCTCCTCCATGTGGCTTGCCCTTTCAGCCTCCTCAGATGCCTTTGATGGGAAAATGTAAATATGTGACGCTAACAATACAGTTTGTCAATCTTTTCCATTTTGGTTAGAGACAGTATGAAGATGCTTGTCTTCAGAATCTCCTGAAAGTCTGCTGTTTGCCTTTCTCATTTATATCTTCCCCTCAACCACAACATTCATGCATTCTACACGTATAGTAGTTCTCTTGGCCCTATTTGATGAGAAGGACTTTCCCTATGTTCTTTATATATTCTAAATTCTACCCACTATTCTAATGTCTATCTTAATCTTAAATAATATACCTTTATCATACACCCTGGTATGGAAGAGCAAATTCTCTGCGTTTTTTCTTTCAAAGATTGCTACACTAGTACAAGCCTTTTGCAGTTAGTAGAATTAAGTAGTCAATTCTGGGTAGAAAAAAAAATGTGATGTCTTTGAAATTAAATTATCTAAAATTTCCAAAATGGAAAGAATTGGCATCTTTACTATAGTCATCCTTTGGGTTTTGTTTTTAATTTCTATTGTTTGTTTCTGGTTTTAGTTTTTTGAGACAAACATATCTGTACATAGCCCTGGATGTCCTAAAACTCACTCTATAGACCAGGTTGGCCTTTAACTCACAGAGATTCACCAGCCACTGCCTCCTAAGTACTGGTATTAAAAGCATGCACCAATATGCCTGGCCCACTATAGGGATATTTTTTCAATCCACAAATGCGGTTGTAACCTTTCATATTATCTAAAAATCTTTTATCAAGTTCATTAGTTTCATTTATGTGTGACATGTGTAGTTTGCTATTATTTAAATTGTTATTTAAATCTTTATAATGTGTGGGGGGATGTGTTGCTTTCATATATGTGTACTAAATGCATGTATGATGTCCACTGAGGGCAGAAAAAGTATCATACTCCCTATAACTGGGGTTACAGATAGTTGTGAGCTGCTATATGGATGCTGGGAACCCACCTAGGTCCTGTACAAGGGTAGTAAGTGCTCTTGACCACTGAGCCATCTCTCAAGCCCTCAGAAATGGTTTGGGTAAAAATAATAATGTTTCTATCTGTTGATCTGTTGCTAACTT